ATTCCAAAGAGATGTTGCCTGTGGTCTATCAAGCCATCCATCAGATATGCAGCTGTCCCAGTGTTTCGAGGTTTATGATCTTGTAGGCTCCCTGTATAAGATCTGCTGTAGAAGCAGCACTCAGGTACACTTGCATTGACCCAGCAGAAAAACTGCTGTGGCTTTAGCAGTGAATGGCAGTCTGGCATCAGAATTGCTGTCTGAAAAAATGTGCATACACGTGCATTTGATGACCAAGACACAGAGTCAGTATTTGAAGGATTCAGGTATTTCATTCATTTTCTTTTTTTGAGACAAGGTCTCACTGTGCAAGTTCAGGCTAGTCTTGATCTACTGTGTAACTCACACTAGTCTCCAATCCATGGCAATCATCTTGCCTCAACCTGCTTAGTGCTGGGATTACAGACAGTGTACCCCTTCACCTGGCTTTTGCTTCATCTTTTCATGAGAAGAGTTGAACTATCCCAGGCTGTGAGTCTCAAGCTTCCTTCAAGAAACATATGTGTGATCATTTAGGAAAAAGTGACCTTGGAAGATGTGGCTGTGGACTTCACCATGGAGGAGTGGGCTTTGCTGAATCCATCCCAAAAGAAGCTCTACAGAGACGTGATGAGGGAAACTTTTAGGAACATGGCTGCTGTAGGTAAGGTGATAGCACTTTCTCACTTATACAGTCAGAAACATTGTTGCTCATCAGTGCAGTTTCATCAAATAGAATGTGAAAACATTTTTGAAGAATATCTCAGGCCTGGTTATATTATACCATGAATCTAACTAGAATGTCTCTTTTTTTTTTTTTTTTTTTAATTCAGGATGTTGCACTTGCCATGCAGGCACTGTGCCACTGAAGTATATCCCTGGCCCCTGGAATCTATTCATTTTCATGCAGTAATATAGTGTCCCCTTATATTTCTCTGTCTACAATTCAGGTGGAGCCTGGGATAACCATGAAGTGGAAGAAGACCACAAAAGTTACTGGAGACATCTAAGGTAATTTGCACTGAAAAGGAAAAGGAATGTTCCTCAAGATTCAGTGTGAACACAAATATCACAACCAGAGAAATGTGGCCAGTTCAAGTTTATTTAATCTCACAAATATTCTCCAATAATGGATATAGTTTTAGTATGTATAATCTGAGAACTGAATACAGAAATATTCTAATATATGAAACTGATTTAGTACTGATGTCATGCAACAAGTGACACTATGTGACATAGAAGTACAAACATTTTCTTTCATGATCACCTCCATGAAAATGTATGAAATTGCATATA